GTCTTAGCAGTCTGTAAGCATAGCATTAGACAGATTCCTGAGGAATATGCTTCCTAAAATCCCCCTTTTATAATCACTGACTAAATTTTAGATCAGGCACCATGGTCATTATTTACAATTTCAAAATGCCAGTGTGTTGAGGGATTGTATTGAATTTGTAAACATGTCAATAATAACTTTTCAGAACTTTTTTAGAAAATATGCACCGAGTGAGAATGGGCCATATGGGATCAGTGCTGAGGTCATGGACACTTATGTCAAAAGCTGTGGTAAGTTTTTCAAACTATTACTGTCCATTGATAGATTAGGATAAAGGAATGTGGGCTATCCTGATATTGCCATGTTCATATACGTGTAGGACATTAAGATTTTGTGTTAGTCCCTTCGGGCTGCTATAACAAAATACCAGAGACTGGGTGGCTTATAAACAACAGAAATTCATTTCTCACAGTTCTGGAGGCTGGAAGTCCAAGACCACGGCACCAGCATGGCCAGATGAGGGTTTTCTTTGGGCCAGAGACTTTGCATCTCCATGTGATGGTGGGAGGAGCTTGTTACCTTCTCACCTTCCAGAGTTCCCACCTTCTAGGACCATCACATTGGGCATTAACATTCCAACCTGTAGTTTTTGGGGGACACAAACATTCAGAGCATAACAAACTTAAATGGCTCCATAAGAGAAGTAAAAGATATAAAATATTGATGAAGAAGTCATTAATGTTTTGATATAGTGGTAGTAATGAGGCATAAATTCTATTCAGTTTTTAATGGATGTGACTTTACAATCACTTAACTATTTTATCATTACAAGTAATCTCTTCCTGGAAGCTGTTAATTTTCCCCTACATTTTCCCTGTGTTTGAGTAATTGCAATTAAGTAGACTTCGGGAAAAATCTCAGTCAGCAATATTTATGCTTTAGATAATTCTCCAGAGGTAAGGTAACAGTGTTGTGTTATGAAGGTGCCTCTCAAGGTATTTTAGACTAGTATATACAGTCCATTCCTGAAAATAATAAGTAGTTAGCAGCATGCCATAGGGGTTAATTCCTGTGCCTGTCCTCATAAAGTTTATATTCTAGAGAATAATTTTTTATTCTCTTAAGTGTTTTTTTTTGTTGTTGCTTTTCTTTTTTTTTTTTTTTTTTAAATATATTTAACTAGACTATTCAAGGTAGGCTAAATAAAGGAGTTGATACTGGAGTTGAGCCTTACGTGGTATATGTTATTTCTGTTCTATATTAATATTTATTTCTGTTTATGACCATATTTTTACCTGTACTTCAGCAGTCAAAGCTGGGAGAGCAAGTAGAGGCTTTCTAGACATATAACAAGTATATTTAAAGTTCATATCATTTTATGGTTTATACATTGCTTTGTTATAGATGACATTTAAATTTTTTTTCATTAAAATTTATTGGGGTGACAATTATTAGTAAAGTCACTTAGGTTTCGTGTGTACAATTCTGTAATACATCATCTATATATCACATTGTGTGTTCACCACCCAGAGTCAGTTCTCCTTCCATCACTGTATATTTGATCCCTTCACTCTCATCTACCACCACCCTCCCTCTTTTCCCTCTGGTAACCACTATATATTGTCTCTATGAGCTTTTCTTTCTTTCTTTGTCTTGTGCTTTGTTGCTTTCAGTTTTATATCCCACATGTCAGTGGAGTCATGTGGTTCTCGACTTCATCTGGCTTTTTTCTCTTAGCATAATAATCTCAAGATCCATCCATGCTGTCGCAAATGACACTATTTCATCTTTTCTTATGGCAGAGTAGTATTCTGTTGTGTATATATACCACGTCTTCTTTATTTACCCATCTATCAAAGGGCACTTTGGTTGTTTCCATGTCTTGGCCACCATAAATAAAGCTGCAGTGAACACTGGAGCACATATATCCTTACAGATAAATGTTTTCAGATATTTTGGGTATATACCCAGGAGAGGGATTGCTGGGTCATATGGTAATACTATTCTTTTTTTTTTAAGATTTTTATTGGGGAATTGGGGGATGGGAACAGTGTTGGGGATCGGGGAAAGGGAACAGACAAGTTCTGTCCTTTTGTTCTTCAGTCTAGTTGTGGAGGACGTTGCTTCACTGGCCCAAGTTGGCACCATCATTGCGCTCTTCCCGGGCGAGGCAGATCAGTCTCCGGCTTCTGGACTGCCGCTCATGGTGGCTGCTGGCCGCTCACCCTGGCTGCTGGCTACATACGGTAGCCCATGGCAACCCACTGCAGCAGGGGCTGCAGCCTACGCCATCACCGGCGACCCTTGGCAGCCCAGCTCCAGGTTGAGCTGTTGTTCAGCATCTTAGCTGTGGAGGGCAGTGTCACTGGCCCTCATATGTGGGATCCTAACCGGGGCCCTCTAGCATCCTAAGCCAGCTCTTAACCAGTGCGCCGCTCGGCCAGCCCGGTAATTCTGTTCTTAATATTTTGAGGAAACGCCACACTGCCTTCCATAACGCTGTACCAATCTGCATTCCCACCTACAGTGTATGAGGGTTCCTTTTTCTCCACAGCCTCTCCAACACTTGTTATTATTTGTCTTGTTGATGATAGCCATTTTTAACTGGTGTGAGGTGATATCTCATTGTGGTTTTTATTTACATTTGTCTGATAATTAGTGATGTTAAACATCTTTTCATATGTCTATTGGCCTTATGTCCTCTTCGGAGAAATGTCTTTTCGGGTCCTCTGCCCATTTTTTAATTGGATTGTTTGTCTTTTTGTTGTTGGGTTGTATGAGTTCCTTATATATTTTGGATATTAGCCCCGTACTGGAGGCGTTGTTTGCAAATATCTTCTCCCATTCACTTGGTTGACTCTTTGTTTTGTCGATGGTTTCTTTTTCTGGTGCAGAAGCTTTTTAGTTTGATAGAGCCCCATTCATTTATTTTAGCTTTTACTTTCCTTGCCTTTGAGGTCAAATTCATAAAATCCTCTTTGAACCCAACATCCATAAGTTTCATACCTATGTTTTGTTTTATGCAGTTTATTTGTTTCAGGTCTTATGTTTAGGTCATTGATATGTTTTGAGTTAATTTTGGTACATGGTGACAGAAAGCAGTCTAGTTTTATTCTTTTGCACATGGCTTTCCAATTCTCCCAGCACCATTTATTGAAGAGGCTTTCTTTTCTTCATTGTGTGTTTTTTAAAAATGTTTTTGACAAAGGAGCCAAAGACATTTTCAATTTTTTCACGGTGCTCCTGTGAAGTAGTATTCCAGATTATTTTGAACCCCATAATTTATTCCCAAATTTACACTTGATGATACATTTTTGGCTGAGAGGTATAAATGTATTCCTAGGAAATTTGCAAACACTAAAATAAAATGCGTATGTCTGTTAGAATCCTTTATGTTGTTAATTTCTCATTTTCACTGACGAAACATAACATGTGTTACATGTCATTTTGTTTCTCATAAAAATGTTCGCATACAGTGTAAAGACTAAAAAACATTGAAAAAGTCCAGAGAAAATGTCTCCCTTCTCCTACACCCTCTTGCTCTTCCTCTGTATTTTTCCCTCCTTTTTCTCCCTCCCTTCCTGCTTTCCTTCCTTCTTTCTCTTCTTTTTCCCCCACCCCCTCCCATACACACACATACTTTTTTCTTTCCTATTTTTTCAGATCTCAAGTCTGTGTTTTCTATGATCTGAAAAATTAGTATCATCTAAAGACTTGACTAGGGGATAGATCACTCACAATACAGGTAGTTTATGTTGTTTTTCAGCTGGCCTTGTCGATTACATCACCTATGCATGGCCTTTCTGAGGCTGCAGCTTCTCAGAGCTGGGTTCCAAGAGGAAGTACTCTAGGAGACAAGAGGGGAAAACTGTTGGCTCTGAAGGCCTGGACTGGCAACCTGGTGCTTGGTCATTTCTGTCATACTCTGTTGGTCAAAGCAGTCACAGAGCCTGCCTGGATTCATGGGGAAAGGAGTCTAGTTCCCACCTTGAATGAAAAGAGTTTTTGAAAATGTGTGGCCATCTTTAATTCACAACACCTAGCTTTGAGTGCTTTGAGTACTTTATTAAATGAAATATTTTGCATGCCCTCCAACAGTTATCTCCTATTTTTTTACTTGACTTTCAGATAGTTACTGTAAACATTTTTATATCATAAAGCTATTTAATAAAGGGATGTTTATTATTTATCTATTTAAATTATATATACACGTACACAGCCTATAAATACTGACTAAAATTTGAAAACTTTGCTCACTGGTTAATTACCAGAACATTATGTTGCGGATCCATGCAAGTGAATCTGGGATATGTAGTCTTTTACGTAGGCTGTAATACTTAAAGGGGTTAGAGATAATGAAAGTAACGTACCTCACTAAGAGCCTAGCCTTCAATAAATTGTAACTGTGTTTATTACTTAATAACTAAAAATTACTCCAATGATTCTATCGTTGCTTAAATCACTTTGGACTTCTGGAGTGGCCTTCAGAACCTGAGTCCAACGGACTTTAATAGTTTATTGAATTTGGACAGGATTAATTTGGTCATTAACAGGTGGTCCAATCTTTTTTCTACATATTGTCTGAAATAAACATGTTTTGTAAAAACTGGTGTAGTCGCATGTATGTTTGCAAGTTGTATTTGTTGTCAGGTTACTAATGGGAGAAGTAGGGAAGAAAAAAACAGCTTCAAATTTTGTTTCATCATTTTGAACACGTGCAAAGTTTCCAGACTTTTTAGAAGAGAAAGATAAAAGAATCAAGCTGAAGCCAATGACCTGCCCCTAGCCCTGGCCATATATAATTTTTCTTAATACTTTCGATTATGGTGTGAACTTCATAAATACCTTTACCACTCAAGTGAATTCATTTGTTTGTTTTTTTTCTATCTGCTTGCACTTCAAGATTGTTTCTCTATTATTTTTTTTTAACCCTGCAGTTACTTTTGTTATCTTGTGGACAACACAGTTGTGGGCTGATTGACATCAGTATGTGTACTTCTGTAGACACTTCTTTTTCACTGTCATCATCAACTTGTGTCCAATTTGAAATGAGAGTGGTAGACTGTGTTATAATAAAGGTTCCTGAAACCTAATTTAACTTTTGATACAAGTGACTTTTATAATTTGACAAAATTCTGCACGATATGTTTTTCTGTTGCAAATAATTTCTTTAGAGTTTCAAGTGATAAACTCTTCATAGAGTCAAAGAAGATTACAACTTTAATTTCAGAATTTAGATGAGAAATAAAAAATAGTAAGCAAATTGAAATGAAAGTAGCACAAACTGCTTTTATATTTAGTGTTATGCATAACCTGATTTGCTAGTGTTTTTCACAATTTTTGAACTTTTATTGCAGCTGGATATTGTGTGATCACATATATACTTGGAGTTGGAGACAGGCACCTGGATAACCTTTTGCTGACAAAAACAGGTAACATATAATGGCTACTAGTAGATAACACATTTTATATGCCATTAATTTTTACCTTGGAATCTATGAGTAACAAAATAATTTTCATAAGTGAAGATAAAGCATAGTCTTAAAAGTCTCTTTAAATGGTACCTTTGAAGGACATCTAGGGGAAACTCCCACTCCTTGTAAGAATCACGTTAGGAGTAATCCTCCAGGTGGTCGTCTAACCCTTGCTTCTTAAAATGCCGTCTTTGGTGGAAAGTCCAATCTCTTACTGTACAGCTCTAGTTAGAATGCTAGAGTGTCCTTTTTCTTAGTAAACTCTTATCAGACTTAACTCACTTTTACCTCTATCTTTAATTCTTTACTTTTCCATGGAATAATCATTCTCCTCCCCTTTTTCCCCGATAACTCTTTGGCCCTGTGGCTTTAAACATCATCTCTGGAGACAACTGCCAATTTTATAGCTCTCTACCTCAATCTGTTTGAATCGCTTCAAACTGAAATATGCATTCGCTCACTTAAACTAATTATATGGCTAGTTGTAAAACTTGTTCCCTTCCTCCACTAACTTGCCTAAAATCTGCTCCTCACCGCGTCCCATCTCAGTAAGTAGCTTTATTGATCCAATTGTTGAAGCACCGAAGTTAGGAGTATTCTCAACACCCTTTGCCTCATATCACAATATTGAACTTACCAACAAATCCTGTCTACGCCTCATCTCCCAAATAGATCAAGAACTTACACACCCTCTTCCTTTCTACTGCATTGACCCCTTTTGAAACCACCACCATCTTTTGCCCAAACTCTTTGAATAAAATCCAACTCTTCACAATGGCAGCCGTGGTTTGTCCACACTTAAAACCAGTCTGAGTGATTAAATCTCAAACCACTCTTGCCCTTGTTTCCTCTTCCTGGGAAGCTCTTCTTTCAGATCTTTGCAAGCCTCACTTTGGTAATTAAGTCTAAGTTCTAATGGCATTTCCTTAGAGAAGCCTCTTCTCATTCTCTGAGCTGAAATAACGTGCCTGCCCACCCGACCCTGCCCCATTACTCTCTCTTTTGTTTTCTTTATACAACTCATCACTAGCTGAAGTTACTGCCTTTATATAATTCAATGAATGTTTATTGAGCACCTACTATGTGCCAGGTATTATTGTAGGTGCTGGGAATACTAAAGTGAACAGAACAGACAGAAGTGGAGCTTGTGGATTTCCCATCGTCTTCCCCCATTCAGGATGCAGGCTCCATGAGAGCAGGGACCTTGTTCATCCTGCTTCCACCAAGCCTCCAGAGCCTTGAACTACACCTAGCCACAGTGCTTGATAAATCAGTGTCTCATTAGTGAGTGAATCCATACATCTGTTCTTCTCTGTAGCTCAAGTTTTTTCAGCCTTTCTCAGAAAATAGATTTTAAATTACTTAATTAAATGGTCTCTCAGGTAAGGACAGGACATTTTCTGTTTTTGTTCGTATTTTTCTAAATTGTGATACTAAGAATTTAACATAATACATAGTGTGTAGTCTAATGATTAATAGAATAACCCTGTTTATTCACACACTCTGGAATTTCATCGATTCAATTTTAAGTTGCTAATGTAAAAAATCATCTGTACTTCACTTTGCATGTGGGAACCATGTCTGTGTCAAGGCCAGGCAATACCTTTCATGACCAAGACAAGGAACGTAATCAGATTGTCCTGGAGGCTCTTACCTAACTCGCTAGTTTAGCAAAAGATATTTATCAAATGTTACAGTGTGTTTGGAGAGAATTGTAATTTCAAAGAAGTTTTCCTGTGTTATTTCCTTAGCTTTCTTTTTGGTTGAATCTTCTAACCACGTGTATCAAGATACCAAAGTGATTCCATTTGTTTCTATGATTTAATCATTTTATAACCACAATGCAATCTTGAATGTATAGAGTTGCATACATCTCTGATGTTACATTCACAGATCTTACTTGTATTTTCTTTTGGAAATTGATCAAATAGAACTTTTTCTGTTGGACTTAGAACTGCTGTGTGTGTGTGTGTGTGTGTGTGTGTGTGTGTGTTGATGAAGATATTTTAAGAGGAAGATTTGGAAAGAGGAGTCTATTTAATCTACTTTTGTGGCCCGGATCACAGTTAGCTTGTTTTATGGAAATTTAATTATAAAATTTCAGAAACAGAAGCTTTAAGTTTCTTCTTAATAGTTTTCCACTAGAGGGTGCACCAAATTTGTCTTTAAAAACGAAACGTACCTTAAAATATGCTAGCTAAGAGGCCCATTCTCTTTTACAAGGCATTTCTTTGCGTTATTTTTTCTTAACTAATTTGTAATGGCCCATCCAGGTGTATCATATAGTTAGCATTGTAAATCTTCCTCACTAGGATAAATGTTTTTAACGTTCAGGTTTAATTTGAATGAAATTAGATTATATAAGGAAAGTCTGATTGTGTCAAGTGGAATTATGCATTCTTCAACTTTTAAAAATTTATAATGATTTATTTAGAAATATTTTGTGTCTTTAGTTATCTCTAACAGTCCATATATTTCAAAGCAGTTTCCAGTTACATTAATTACGTATATGTGGTAAATAGACTTTTAGACAACTGTTATATATTCAAAGTGAATTTTGAATGTGGTTCATTGCAGAAATATTATACATATCAGTGCAGTGCTTGAATACCATGAAGCATCTCCCATTGTATATTTTGGGTCCATTGTACCTTCAATAAAGACGGTAACATTGACGATTCAGCACTTTAGGTTCTCTTATGTAGCTGTGCAGTCTCTCAGTGTTAATGGAGCATTTTTTTATTTTATTTTTTTAACGAAAAGTAACATTTCCATTCTTCAAAATCTAACATCTTTTGTCTTCTGTTCTTATTTGCCAATTTGGGTAGGTTTAAAGTTTATGCCTCTGCTTCGGATAAAAGTGGTTTGGAATTGTAGAGTTCCACCGATTCATCTGTGTCCAGTTCTCTGGCATGAGAGGTGGAACCAAGAGAAGAGACACTGAGAGAGACTTTATTTCACTGGGGTCTTTTGGAGACTTCTCCCCAATATATTGTTTCACCCTGTAAAGATAGATGAGACAGAAAAGGGTCAGACTGAGAACCTTAGGCGCGTGTGGAAGAAAATGCTTCACTGCATCTTGACAATTTCAAAATCTATACAATGGTAGTGTGCAAAAAAGTTAAACATAGGTCTCAATTACAGATTTCCAAGACATTGTTTTGCCTGTACTTTATTTGATTTTGGATACTTTTAGCTTGGTTGACGTTTCTTCATTTTGTACAGCAGAGGGTGCTCTGTACCCACCATAAATATAACACTAAATTCTTTCAGTGTATTTTCATGTGGTCAATTATAACATTGTTTTCTTGAAGCAAATTTGGAATGAACGGTATTTCACTTATTAATGCATTAATATAGCATTATTTAAGCAAGAAATCATAAAATTTAAGTTGTGAATGGAATTGAAACAATTGACTTTTTTCTGATGTCTTTTGAGGAAGCTTTAAATTAATTCAGGATAATCATTTGTGGCAAGACTCAAATGAAACATGATTTGGGTTTATCCCAACTCTGGAGAAAAGTTCATTTTGTTTTTTTATTTTTGAGAATCTGAGGGGTGGAGGAGGACCGGTATAACTGAAAGACTTGTTCATTGTTTATGGTATACAGACTTTATAATAGAAGTAACGTATAAAATTAATACGTAAATAACTAAAAAACGTTCACAAATGAAAACAAGGAGCTAAGTACCTGTAGTCCCTAGAAAGTTAGTTGTAGGTCCTGAGGCTGGCCCTTCTAATCTGAATTACTCATTTGTACAGTGAGAGGAGTGGTGGCCTTTTTGTCGCGGCTCTTTAGCGTAGTACTCTTTGAGCCTTCTGTGAAAGCTCAAAGTAAAGAAAAATAGTCATTCTTATTGTTATCCTAATTGGAAAAAAATTTAATACTTCCTATTGTAACCTTTATCATTCTTTTTTTTTTTTTTTAAAGATTTTTATTGGGGAATTGGGGGGATGGGAACAGTGCTGGGGAATTGGGGAAAGGGGAACAGACAAGTTGCTGTCATTTTGTTCTTCAATCTAGTTGTGGAGGATGTTGCTTCACTGGCCCAAGTTGGCACCATCATTGCGCTCTTCTCTGGCGAGGCAGATCAGTCGCCGGCTTCTGGACGGCCGCTCACTGCGGCTGCTGGCCGCTCACGCTGGCTGCTGGCCACACACGGTAGCCCATAGCAATCCACTGCCACAGGGACTGCAGCCCACGCCGTCGCCGGCGACTCATGGCAGCCCAGCTCCAGTTTGAGCTGTTGTTCAGCATCTTAGCTGTGGAGGGCAGTGTCACTGGCCCTCATATGTGGGATCCGAACCGGGGCCCTCTGGCATCCCAAGCTAGTTCTTAACCATCCCGCCACTCGGCCGGCCCACCTTTATCATTCTTTAATGTGAAATTGATTCACTTCCTTTTTCAATTCTTAGGAACATCTCACATAAGTTACTATGTCAGGCTCTAAAGTCAAATTCTTTGGGTTTAAATTGCCCATCCACCTTTGGGTGCCTTTGGGTAAGTTATCTAATATATCGATGACTCAATGTGTTCTGAATATGTGAATAATAATAGAATATCTCTCCTGCTGGTGTGAGGGTTGAATTAGATACATAATAGAATAGAATTTTCTGTGATTCTGTAGTACTGAGCTCATAGTAAATAATTCTTAAGGGCTAGCTAGCTGTTATGGTTTTGTTCATTTGTTTTACCATCAGGAAATAAGAATGCTTTCCATTTTTGACTTATGTGGGTGATATTTGGAATCTTTCTTTTAGAGATAAGAAAATCATTAATTGATTTCAAAAATTCCTTTTCCCGCCCTAAAATCCAAACTTTTTTAAGTTACTGCCTTCTAAATTCTCTTTTGAATGGCTCTTTATTTTAGTATAGGAAGTTCTATAAAAAAAGAAGCAGTCCATTTGATCGTTAATGTTATCTTTTCTGTGTTTTAAGGTAAATATTGATATTTT